CAATCAAAATGCAATTTACAACTTCAACCCAATCTAACCACATAAAAGCATATTATACAAGGCAACAAAATACAATTTCTTAAAGCTATTAGCTTGAAATCTAAAGCACGAAAACAACAGAAGTGGATCATGCCACCTAACGTCTAAGTTATAAATAAATCAATATGATCAATCCTAAGCTTTGTTAAAACGCCAAAACATAATTTTCAATATTGATGCAATTTAACCAACATTGGAACTTCCAATACAACGCATAAAGCACAATTTCTCAAAGTTAACATCATGTAACTTAAAATGGAACGACAAATAAGAAACAACAAGTTACAACATCATCTAGTTATCAACTTGAAAATGAAATGCAAAATCAAACAAAGTGGATACTCGGACGTCACGCCGGATCAAACCGACAACATAGTTACTTTAGGGTTACTAGCCCTTGGGTAACCTCCCTATGTGCGCACTAGACTATATATAGAGGGACTATCCCCCGTACTAGAACCACGTCCTAGCCATAGTCAAACAACGACATCCCCAAGTTTCCAAAATCAACAAGTTCTGCAACAACGCATATATCAACAGGAATATGCAAGATAATCAACTATCTACTAAGCACAACCAAATTTGGAAACCTATACAATACATGCTCTAAATCCACAACTAATATCATATGATGAATGTCGAATCTTCAGTGTGCGATTCGTTACACGCTATGCATGAAAGATGTTAAACACGAAGTGTGTAAATCATTACACAAGGCAACAATATATTCAATAAGGAAAACATATTATCACAAATACAAACATAGCAACTATGTTATCTAATGTTCAAAACATAACCAAATGAATATACAACAAGTCTAAGTCCATGATTTGAATATAAAAACCACTTCTAAAATACAACTAGATCATGGACCAAATTGATAGAATTTAAATAGATAAACACAATTAAATTCTCTAGATTTTCGATTCAATTTCAATTAACCTCAATTTAATACATGTTAAAGGGCATGGCAAGGTCATCACCTATATCCATTCCAAAACTCAATTAGGTTGTTAGAACAACAAAGTAGAACTTTAATTAAATCATGCTAATTTAAATCCCAAGGTTCTAAAAGAACTTCAGATAGTTCCAAATTAATATATACTAGTAACAAGTTATGATCAATACAATTATCAAGTTAAAAACTTAATTAAGCTAAGTGGACCATTAAATAGATTTTAATTAATTCTTTTAATTAAAATCCCTAGATTTTCAACTTAACCAAATGTTCTCAATTTAACATATCTTAGAGAACATGCCAAGGACTAATGAAATGTCACTTTACAAGTTTATTTCATTCAATTTACGACCATGCCAATTAAACTTTCACTAAAGTTAAACAAAAAACAAAAGTTGCAATTCTCATGCAATAAATCCCAATTTAATACGTGTGAACAATCATACCAAAACTTAATTTTCTAACATGCCACAATTCAATTCCAAGTTGTATATCACCATGAGGATAAAATCTTAAACAAGGAAATTAATTAAATGAAAGGTTTTAAAACCTCACTGAATATTCAAAATCAAATATATGTGAAGCTATATGGCATGTAGATCAAGAATATCAAGTCGGAATTCAAATGGAGTGAATAGTGCACTCGGTACAAATTAATTAATAATTACTAATTTTCAAAACACTTCCAATTACTTTCAAATTCAACTATGTTGAAGAGCATGCTAAGACCTAATATAATATGCTAATACATATTAATTTCAAGCTAGTTAAGGCCATGTGAATTAATCTTTCACCTAAGATAAATATTAAATAAAATCTTTAATACTTATTCAAATGTTCCAATTTTAGTACACGACACTGAGCATATCAAGGGGCAATATAAAATCATGCTACATGTTTAAACTAAGTCATGAGTAACCAGGAAAATTAGATCCCGTACAAGAAAAATAAATAATAAAATCTCTAGATTTTATATTTAATCATGCAAACAAGTAGTATAAGCATCACAAGCATGCTATATAACAAGAATTTAAACCTAGAACATCTCCTACCTCAATTTGAGATGAAAATCCCAAAGGCCCACCAAAATAATAGTGCTCCGAATTCGACGATACCGAGAGGTTTTGTCGGGGATAACACCGTGAATAAGAATCAGCAAGAAGCCCCATGAAAATCTCAACTTGACTCCAAACCCGAACTCAAAAAATCGTCAGAAATGGATTCTAATAAGGGCAAAAGGTAGAGCACGTCGAGGGAAGCAATAAATGCTAAGGCCAAAGGATTTCTACCAAGGAAAAGTGGACCAAAGGAGAAGAGAGAAAGTGGTAGCCATGGCTGCTAGGAAATCCGGCCAAGAAAGGTAGGGAAGATGACCAAAATCTGATTTTTCACTTTAGGGCATCCTATTTATAGTAAGTCTCAAAACTGCCCCGAAAGGGCCCCGCCGGGTCTGGAAAAGTGGATTTTGAGAAGACGCACTCAAACGGCAAAACTCCATGAACAAAAAAGATTCAAAATGATAAAATACGAACAACAGAAGAAACGGCGTTAAAAACTAAGTCCCGAGCAGAAAGTTATACCCCGAACAATTTCGGCGGCAACTAGGTCCAGAAACTCTGAAACTGGAGAAAAATGACCAGAAGGAAATTCTAAGAGTCCACGACTCGATGAAATGTGAAAATGAATCCTATACGAGGATCCAGGCCCTAGACGAGACATTTTGCAATAACTTTCGTTAAATGCACAATGGCCCCTACAAAAAGGGTTAACTGCGAAACTGCCCCAGAATGAAAATATCTTCCAAAAGATATTTTCTTAGATGCCTCTGAAATAAAATATCTTCAAAAGATATTTACGAAAAACACCCCAAGAAATGAAAAAGATTTTAAAGAGTTGTGCATCCATACCCCTATGGGTACCGGGAGCAACCAAAGTACTTTCTTGCAAAAGTAAAGATACGTATTTTGAGGAAACCACTCAAGATGAAGGCACGTGAAGTCAAAAACCAACTCCGAGCACGAAAAGTGAGGTTGTGCCAAAAATTGACAAACGGAGATAAGACAAAATAGGGAAAATGACAGAATAGGGAAAAAACGAAATAACACATAGTGTCCAAAAACGAAAAATGCGAAAATGACTTGGTCCTCAAAGGAAGTTGTCAATTCACATGAAAGAGTCTCAGAAACCAATTCTGAACACTCGAGATGACACTAAGCGACCCGAAACAGAGCTCAGAAAGGAAAATTAAATGAAAAAAATTCATTCGTAAAATTTTAGGAAAAAAGGAAAGGAAGGCTAATGACCGGGTCGTTACAGAGACAGTCCACATCATTCTTCCGGTTCTGCGTAGGACTCTATTTATGTTTTAGTTTCTGTTTATGGTTTTTCGGTTGATTCAATTGGAATATCATTAAGGGTCCACTAGATGGATTCCCGAGTTATAATGATAATTTAAGGTTTTGGATATTAAGTTAAGGATTTAATATTTAGTTTTCTTTTCCGCTTTATTATTTATTCATTAAATTCTTCTTGTAATTATGCTTGTTTAAATATTAATTGTTTGGTATCCCTCGAATCTGTGCTCGGACTTGATCACCTGTAGCTCTACAATCGAGGGGTATCACAGCAATGAAAGAAGCTTTTTTGAGTAATTCTTTGGTCTTGAAGTTTAACACTTACATTGTAATCATTCATTACTTTTTCTTTTTCTTTTCTTTTTTTCTTCTTCTTTTTTATTTATTTATTTTTTTGACAAGGAAGATTGTAATCGAAAACGTTCAAAAAGAGAACGCATCCTACAAAAACAAACAAGGACCATATAGGGCCTTCAGCCTCTCAACATGTCCAAAAAATCAACTATCTCCCCCAAGAATTCACTATTTCTACCAAAAACACAACAACAAAAAAAAAAGAAAAAAAAAAAAGAAAAAAAAAGGAAAAAAAATTGCAAGAAAAAGAACTAAGAATGGAGAACTTCAGTGCCCCAATAGAAGTTTCCTCCTCGATCAAAGGATCTCCTATTCCTTTCCTTCCAGAAGCACCACCTAACGCACAAGGGTGCCACTCTCTAAAAGTCATGGGCTTGGGGACCCACTATAGACCCCTTAAAGCCTCGATCATACCTAGCGAAGTCCATGTCATAACCCACTGAACACCAAACAACGCAAAAAGCAAACCCCAGATGTCAACCCAAGAGATCATCAACTGACTCTTCATCCCTCTTGCACATGCAACACCAATTGACAACACTACGTCTCCTCCTCATATTGTCCAGGGTCAGAATCCTCCATGAAACTGTCATCCAAGGGAAAAAAAAAAAAAAAAAAAAAAAAAAAAAAAAAAAAAAAAAAAGCCACCTTGAGAGGTGCTTTTGTGCGCTACATTGCTTTCTAAGGGAAAACAACCACCACGGCAACTGAGAGAGCTCTATAAAAAGAGTGCAAATCAAACCCTCCGAGACTGAGGTGAATCATCATCATGATGCTATGGATGATCTTGAAACTGAGATGGATATACAGATAAATATGTACCAGAATGATCTAGAAAGTAAGGAGAAGGAGTATGAAGATCAGTTTTCTTCTCAACAGGTCTGTCCTCATAATTTTATTTCCTGGGATATTGATCAATCTGAAGTGAACATAATGGAACCCTTGGCAGCAGTGGACCCTAACTGTTTAGAGACAACTTTTGATTCGGGTATGGAATGGGTGTTTGAAAATATTGGCGAGGTTAGTGAAGCTCTGGGTTTCTCTTCTGAGGGTGATGTCAATCGAACGCAATCCATTCTTCATGCTATTGTGGCAGGAAACGAAATTACAGATACCCACAAAAGTACAAAAGTTATTAAAAATAGAAAACATTCATCACATCAGAAAGGAGAACAAGAGGTTAAGAACCTTATTTCCTATTTCAACTATAAGGGGAAGGATGGGGTGAATAAAGAAAAGGGAAGGACTAGAAGTGGGAAGCCGGGAGGAGGGGAATTGGTCATTTTTGGTTCTCAATGAAGATACAAATTATTACTTGGAACGTTCGTGGTTTGAATGATTCGGACAAAAGAAGGGTGGTTAAAGCTGCTATAAGGAAATGGAATGCCTATGTTATTTGTTTGCAAGAAACTAAGTTGGCTTCTATTACTGATGAAGTGGTTAAGAGTCTTTGGGGAGGAAGGTTTGTGGAATGGGAAACGTTGAACGCATCTGGCACATCGGGTGGAATTCTAATTATGTGGGATCGAAGATGGTTGTCGAGAATAAAATTCTGGAAAGGGCTCTTTTCCTTGTTACGTGTGTTTCAGATGGAAGATGATAATTTCAGCTGCCCGTTATTGATTATGATAAACCTATTTTTTGGGAAGAGCTCAACTACGTCAAGGAATTGTGGTCATTGCCTTGGTGCTTAGGCGGGGACTTTAATTCTGTTAGGTCTCCATTCGAGAGATCCACAGGGGGTAGGTGGTCCTCGAAGATGACCTAGTTCTTTGACTTCATTAATGGTCACTTTTTTATTGATCTAACATTGGAAGGGGCAGCTTTTACTTGGTCTAGTGGCAGAGATTCAGTCACTCTTTCAAGATTGGATAGATTCCTGGTTTCTGGGGATTGGGAAGAGAAGTTCCCAGATGTTACTCAGGCAGCTTTGGTTAGGGTCATGTCTAATCATGTGCCTTTAGTTCTTGATTGTAGATGTATGAGATCTAGACGCACACCATTTCAATTCGAAAATATGTGGTTGAGATCCGAGGACTTCCAAGGGAAAGTCCAGTCTTGGTGGGGGGAGGCAATGTTTACAGGCTCTGCTAACTATGTGCTTGCTAAGAAGTTTCGGATTCTCAAATATGAGCTTAAGAAGTGGAATAAAGAGGTGTTTGGGAATTTTGAATGGAAGAAAAATAGAATTTTGGCTGATATTGCTAAACTTAATCGTCTTGATGAGCTAGGGCAGGATATGGAATCTTTACGCTCTAGAAGAGCGTCTTGTCAGACGATTTTTGCTAAGTTAGCTGGAGATTTTGTGGCGTCAGAATTCTCGGGCTTTGTGGCTAAAAGAAGGTGGCCGTAATACAAAATTCTTTCACAGGCTTGATAACGCTCATAGAAGATGCAATCACATCGGGCGCATCCGTGTGAATGGTTCAGAGCTGTGGAGAGAAGATGAGGTGCGTCAGGGAATTATTTCCTTTTACCAGCAGCTCTATACCGAGACTTTCGGATAGAGACCTAAACTTGATGGTTTGCATTTCGATGTTATTTCTACTCTGGATAGTGATAGGCTTGAAGTTCCTTTCTCTGAAGTGGAAGTTCTTAAGGCGTTATCCAGTTGTAACGGTGATAAAGCTCCAGGCCAAACGATTTTACTATGCATTTGTGATACCTCCGGATCTCCGGATGCGGGTTGACCAGGCCCACGCCCAAACGCCCGGGGATATCAAAACAATTAGGCAATAAACGAACACAGAGTACAAAAGAATAAAGAAGAATAAATAAATGCTGAAAAGAAACTAAAATGATAATCCAATAGTAAACCTCAGAATAAATTTTTTATTAATAATAAAATATTATGATACAACTGATCCTCCAAATACAACTCGGGAATCCATACTATGTGGACCCCTAGAAAACCAAACCAAAAGCTGAAACATAAACAAAATTCTTATGTAGAAACTCCGGAAGAGTGAAGTAGACTGATCCCTGCTCAGCATGAACAACCTCTACTCCTGATGAACACCTGAAAAATTATGGTGGGTCAGGCCCACAAATAAGTTCTACTCTACTACAGTCTAAGCAGAGATTCAATACACGTGTACATCCTAGTCAATCCAACAATAACTAATTGTCCGTATATATATATAAATACACACTAAAGGACTCTCACTGGACTATAGGCCTGTCTCAACCTGAATAGAGGTAACATGCAAAATGCACTCGAAGTGGGCATGTTTACCTATACCTAAACAGGGTACACCTCAAACCATCATAGCCAGCTATGCATCCCACTATTTATACGCTCCCTAACCATCGACTCTGAGACTCAAGCTCATATTATGGAACCATAATTGTATATTTAAAATCCATCCAAAAACCATAGTAGTACCGCTCAACAGTTCGTTGCCTAGACACTACATATAATTAGGATTTAACATTATAGTTAAGCCATCCTAATACAGAACTATAAAACAACCATCTAGTATGTCGTTCAACTATTTTAGTTGACAAGACATGAATCCATATAGGATTTAACTATTTTAGTTAATCCATTCCGTATGTATGAGTAGGTAGGAATTAGCGTTGTGATCTAATCCATCCTAATATGTCACCGTCCCATACCGGTGCATATAATCCGTATGATCCATAAATGATGCAACATTTAAAACAGTACATCAAATAAATCCACACAACAGTCCGCTAATTGATAATACAATTTCAGGTGTATATCAAATAATCCAAAGTTAAACATAATAATATTATATCATGCTAACACGAGATAGGACAACTTATAATTTATTTAAGTTTCTTGTGTCACATATCTTACACATACTGAATGTTAAACAGATAGATATATTTTGTTATACAATCCCTTAAGCATTCTCCAAAATTTATTAAAAACTTATTTAAATCATTCTTAGTCCTTAATCGACATTTAGGACTCCTCAAATCCAATCCACAAATAATACAACGCTATTTCTGAAACCTCACCAGATAAGGCTATAGCTTCTGTCTCAATTGCTTGAACACCCTGTCCAAGGCTCGAGCATCCTAATTCAGGCTCGAGCTCTTCATCCCAATTGCTCGAGCTTTCCTTCTCAGGCTCGAGCTTTACATCCCGAATGCTCCAGCTTCACAACCAAGTGCTCGAGCTTTACAACCAGTTGCTCGAGCATCACAACCAAATGCTCGAGCTTCACAACCAATTGCTCTAGCTTCACAACCAATTGCTCGAGCTTTTCATCCCAAGGCTCGAGCTTTGCCCCCAAGGCTCGAGCACTGTAACAACGGTCCTAACACTATTACGTGAATCAACCCAGAAATTCACTGTGTATTCACTCTTTATTTGTTTCAGGAATCCTAGGCATGTTTCTATGTTCCATTAATCCACATATATGAAAAATACATAATTTAAACATATAAAAATTTATACAAGAAATCAAATTTTATGAAATAAGAGGGGGGGTGAATTGGTTAATCTATTCCCAACATAATCAATAAGATAATTCAGCAAGCAAGCAACAAGTACTTAAAATAGGATTTACAAGGAAACCCTTTCAACTAGGGAAAACCTTGGTTCTTGGCCATGGCCAATGAAGATCACTACTAGCTATATGTACCTTGTTACACACTCAGCTGTCTCACCCTCTACACACACCCAAGCACAAGAATGGACACTAGCTTTCACAACCAATACACACACTAGCTGATTTCAGTGCACACACACACTCCCACTGTCCTAAGCACCTTTGCTTGGACCAACAAAGCTCATATAGCTCACCATATACATCATTACAAATGATAAACAAGATAATCAAATTCCTTCTACTATTGAAACAGCTTGAACAACACAAAATACCAAGTTACTGCCTCAAAATCATCAAACTGCTGCAGCTAGAGTATGAGGGGTAAAATTGAAATTTTCCATCGAAAATAGTTTATCAATAGCTTCCACAGTCTTAATTCACTACAGTACTCATGTTAACATCCTTAAGCAATTCAGTATAGCATGAGTATATATCAATGTACTACCACAGTTCTTGAATAAGCTCAGCTCAACATAGTTTGAGAGGTTTTGCAAGGTCACAATCACAATCAGTTAATATTTTGCACCACAACCAATTTCAACAACTTTGATTCATCAAAAAAGACTTGCTAGCACATAGATAATCCATAGAATAGCTAGACTTAATCAATTTGTGCTTGAATCACAATATATGCAGAAAAACTAGCTTATCTACTGATCTAAGAGCTCAAAATCCATTTCAGCATGTTTCAGTTCAAAGCAAACTACTGAGTAAGTGTAAATAGCATAGTTATACCTGTGACAACCCTCGGAAATGACCACAGCAGCTTGGAACTCAGATTCACTACTCAATCCAGCCCTTTCTTCAGCAATTTGGACAGCAACAGCATCTCAGCAAATTGATCACACACAAGGCTTGAGTCAGTGGGTTTTTCTAGCATAAATCATCATTACAAATCACAAAAAACTTTGTTTAATGAAAAGGAGCTCAAGAGTCCTCTTCTGCAGCTTGCTTTTAGTCTCTATGAAAGGCCATTAACCCTAAAAGACACATATAGCAGCATATATATATTTCAGTAAAAATGCTTGACTGCACCTCTCTTAATTCAATGCTGTCACCTTTCAACCAATGATTGCATAAGAACAATTCTGACATTCCCTTAATGAAAAGACAATGTTGCCCTTGATATCTCACCAAATAGTGACACCTCATGCATCAGTAAGAATAGTTTATACAAGTGAGGACACATTGATATTTGTCTTTGCTTAGCCACTAAAATCTGCAACACCATTGGAGGACAATATATATACCTGGACCACAGCCACGTGTCACACTCCTGAAAATACTTGAAAAGTTGTATAAACAAGCCTTATACCAGCTGTAAATTACATTCAACAAAATCCTGTTGTTGAGGCTGTATTAGACACAATGTAGGCTCACCACAGCAGTTCAGTGCAATGCAGCTATCCAGCCATACGATTATCCATAGAATACATCAGGGAAAATACAAAAGTACCCCTGAAAGCACCTATGACAAGTTCCTTATATATTGATCCTGACTGAAACCATTCAATTTAGCTAAATCAAGTGTACCAGCTGTGATGAATTAAATCATGCCAATGTAAAAAGACTGTCAATACAATATAAATGTCAATGCTGCCCAAGTGATATATTTAAACCACAATACAGATAGGACATGCACTAAAGAACACAAAACCAAAGCTTTGACATTAAATAGGCAAATAGGACTTAGAGAATCTTAGGACCAACAATCTCCCCCTTTTGCCTTTAATGACAAAAGCTTTGATATGAAATAAGGTCTCAAGTATAGTGATCCAGCTAATAGAAGGAGAACAACCCAACACTCATCAAATGATAAGAATAGCATGTGACACTATCCTTATTTTAGTCATTTCTCCCCCTTTTTGACATTGAAGGTCAAAAGGGAGTAAGACCAACAATAGTAAGGTCAAAGAGGTGGGGGAAACAACCCTTAGAAGATCTCGAAGGGTTGAAAATCTGTGAGGAAGAAGAGGCTTAGTCATGATGTCTGCAATTTGATCTATTGTTGGTAGATAAGTAATCTCAAGAAGCCCTTTTTGAACCTTATCTCTGAGAAAATGATACCTGATATCTATATGCTTGCTTTTCCAATGCAATGTAGGATTTTTACTGATGGCAATAGCACTTTGATTGTCACAAAAGGGCTTGGGAGGCATGGAGAATTGAAGGCCAAGATCTATCAAAGTAGACTGCATCCAAAGTAATTAAGAACCAGCCTGAGAGGTAGCAATATACTCAGCTTCTGAAGTGGAGAGAGAGACTGTGTCTTATTTTTTGCTAAGCCAAGAGACTACATTAGAGCCAAGAATGTAACAGCAGCCAGAAGTGCTCTTTCTGTCAGGTAAGGATCCACCCCAATCGGCATCTGAAAATGCAGCTATAGTCATTGTTGGAGAAAAAATATATTGTAGACCATAAGAGATTGTGCCCTTAACATATCTGAGAATGCATTTGGCAGCCTGGAGATGAGACATTTTTGGATTACTTTGAAATCTGGCTACCAATCCTACTGAGTATATGATATCAGGTTTGGAAGTTGTAAGATAGAGTAGACTGCCAATGATAGATCTATAAAGTGTGGATGGAACAGCTTCTAAGGTACAATCAAGTGACAGTTTAGTATTTGGACACAATGGTGTTGAAACAGGTTTGCCATCATTCATGTTGAACTTCTTGAGTAATTTTGAGGCATGTTTCTATTGTGAAATAAAAATTCCTTTGGATCTTTGAGCAATTTGAAGTCCTAAGAAATACCTGAGAGCACCCAAGAGTGACATTTCAAACCTTGTTTTCATAATATTAGCAAACTCTGATGCTAATGAAGTGTTGGAACCACAAAACATGATGTCATGTACATAGATTTGAAGAATTAGAAACTGGTCTTGATGAATCCTAACATACAAAGTGCTGTCAACTTTACCTCTATGAAAGCCTTGTTCAATTAAAAACTGATGTAACTTTTCATACCAGGCCCTGGGAGCTTGCTTAAGACCATACAAGGCTTTGCTTAGTTTGAATACATGAGAGGGATATTCAGAATCTTCAAAACCTTCAGGCTACTCTAAATAAACTTCCTCACTTAGGTCTCCATTTAGAAAAGTAGATTTAACATCCATTTGGTACACTTTAACTTATTTGTGACATGCAAAGGACAGCAGCATTCTTATGGACTCCATTCTAGCCATAGGAGCAAAAGTTTCATCATAGTCAATTCCAGCTTATTATGAATAGCCTTTACACACCAACCTTGCTTTATTCCTGATCACAGATCCTTTTTCATTCATCTTATTTCTGTAAATCCATTTAGAGCCAATAACATTTTTGTTTACAGGTCTAGGTACCAGTGTCCAAGTATCATTTTTGTTAATTTGATCTAGCTCTTTTTGCATGGCTACAACCCAATCCTCAATCTTCTTAGCTTCACAGTAAGATTTAGGTTCAATAGATGACAACATTGTAAAGTGATTGTATTCTTTGTTATCTTCAACTTCCAACTCAGTTAACTTCTTCCTATGCCTTGTTTGAACTCCAGCTTGAGATGAACCAATAATGTTTTCAGCTTGAACCTGCTTCTGCAGCACTGGGTAAGTAGTTTCTTTTGAATTCTCAGGTTCAGTCACTGAAGAGCTGACTTCATTTGAACCAATTGTATTATTGCTATCTTCAGTCAGAATCATTTTTATCAAATTTTACATGGATTGACTCAACCACCTTCGAAGATCTAAGGTCGTAGCATCTATAAGCCTTGCTCTTTGTAGAATACCCCAGAAATATACCTTCATCAGATTTTGAATCAAACTTCCCCAAATTGTCAATGTGATTAAGTATATAACACTTGCTGCCAAATATTCTGAAATAGTGTACTGTTGCAGGTCTTCCATACCATAATTCAAAGGGTGTCTTGGTTGAATTTTGTCTAAAAAGAACCCTATTGATGATGTACACAGCAGTACTTACAGCTTCAGCCCAAAATCCTTTAGCCAAACCTTTTTCAAGCAACATTGTTCTTCCCATCTCTTGAACTATTCTGTTCTTTCTCTCCACAACTCTATTCTGTTAAGGTGTAGCAACAGCTGAGAATTCCTTTTTGATTCCCTTGTCATCACAGTAGTGCTCAAATTCTTTCATGGTGAACTCAGAACCAAAATCAGACCTGAGTTTCTTCACAGTGCAGCTTCTTTCATTTTCAACAAGGTTGACAAACTTAATAAAGTGTGTAATAGCCTCAGACTTTTCTTTCAGAAAGTAAACCCACACCATTCTGCTGAAGTCATCAATGAGTATCATAAAATACTTACTGCCACCAATACTTGTGGTTCTAGTAGGTCCACAAAGATCCATATATATCAGGTCAAGTGCCTTAGAGGAGTTGATTTCCTTGGAATGGAATGAAACTTTAGTTTGTTTTCCTTGTTGATATGCTTTACAAAGATGATCATCTTTAAAATAAATGTTAGGTAGACCTTTAACAGCTTTCAGCTTCAATATCTTGGACATGTTCCTTGAATGAAGATGACTTAACTTCTTGTGCCATAACTTAGCTTCATCACAGGTTGTTAAATTACATTGGATGACCTGACTTTCTTCAGTGACTGTGTAGACATTTCCTAAAGATCTACTAGCTGAGAACAGAACTTGTTTTGATTCCAGATCAATCATATTGCTTTTTTCTTTGTTAAAACAGACTTCCTTCCCACTATCACACAATTGACTTACAGTTAGGAGATTATGTTTGAGCCCTTCAACCAATAAAACTTCTTGAATCTCTGGCAACTCTTTAGACTTACTCACAGTGCCAATTCCAACAATCTTAGCTCTTTGATTGTCTCCAAATATAACATTTCCACCATCAAACTGCTGTAAGGAGTTCAATTTTGAGCCATCACCTGTCATATGTCTTGAACAGCCACTGTCAACATACCATTTGTCCTGAATATTGCAGGCTTTAAAAGCTGTATACACAAGAAGACTTATAGAGTTCAGCTTCTTGGGGATCCACATCATCTTAGATTTCACCATTGACCCTTTGTATTTAACTTTCACTCCTTGAGTTAGGTCTGACTTCTTCATATACATCTTAGTGATCTTGAAGTTCCTTGCAACTGATGTAACAAAGTCTCTTTGATTGAAACTCAAAGGATATTGAATGTTGTCAAAAATATCAAACCTTGATCTCAGAGGTTTCACCATGGGATATCTTGCATATACTTCTCCAGTGGTGGCCTTCACAAATGTTGAGTGTTTCTGACTAATCTTAGCAGCTGAATCACATACATATCCAATTCCAGTCTTCCCAATTTGCTTAGTAGATTGTTTCTGAATTTTAACCATTTTCAGAGATCTCTCCTCAAGTATGGTAGATAGTTCTTCCTTGCATCTTTTAGTAGACCACTGAGAGTTACTTTGAACCTTGAGTATGCTTAGGACAATAAGGGAAATTGAACACATAGTTGACAATTTGAGTTTTAAGTGTTTGGTGAGAATTTGTCTAAACCTTAATAGTTCTGAATTTAGCTTTCTGATCTGAGATTTTTGTTGATTGCACTTCACAGCAAGTCTTTCACATTTTTCTAGAATTTCCTCAATCTCTGTGTCAGTATCTTCTTCAACAGAATCTTTTGATGGTTCTAGAATGGCCATGAATAAACATTTATCTTCTTGATCTTCTTTAAGTTTCTTTTCTTCGTCAATGGCTGTTTCCCAGTCTGAGAGTAAGGCTTTTCTTCCAAACCTTCCTTTGTTGTTAAATTCTTCAAACTTTCTTTGATTTTGCCCTTTAGAGTTAGGACACTTGGATACAATATGACTAGGCTTGCCACACTCATAGCATGTTAGATTATGCAACTGAGATTTCCTTGTAAACCTAAATTTTCTGAATTTCTTAGCAAGGTAAGCCACTTCATCCTCTTCAAGATCATCTTCTGACTTAGACTCATCTTCTTCAACATTCTCCTTGGCTTTGAGTGTTGTTTCTCTTCTATGCAAAGTAGGAGGACCAACTCTCATCTCATAAGCTGTGAGAGATGCTTGAAGTTCATCAATCTTCATGTTAGACAAATCTTTATCTTCTAGAATAATGACCTTGGCATTGAATCTGGAAGTGAGAGATCTAAGAATTTTCTTACACACATCAGAATCTTTAATGTCTTCACCAAGAGCTCTCATATTGTTTACAAGATCATTGATTTTGAACATATATTCTGCAATGGTTTCTCTTTCTTCCATTTTACGAACTTCATATTGAACCGTGAAAAGCTGAATTTTGTTTTCCTTTATAACCTTGTTTCCCTCATGAGCTTCTTGAAGTGAATCTAACATTTCCTTGGTTATCTTACAATTCTTCACTCTGGTAAATTCTTGCTACTTCAAGGCACAGAAAAGAACATGTTTGGCTTTTCCATCATTAGCTACAGCTATCTTGTCTTCAGCAGATGGATTTTTAGGATTGAGAATCACAACATCATGTATGGTAGCATGCCAAACATCATAGGACTGAGACACTAAAAAGGCTTCCATTCTAGTTTTCCAAGAATCATAGTTTGAGCCTTCAAAACCAGGAGCTTTGTTAATAACTTGACCTTCATCCATAGCTAGGACCAACTACAAGCTTGTTAGAACCTTTCAATGCAGACCCAAGCTCTAATACCAATTGATGAACCAAGAGGGGGGTGAATTGGTTAATCTCTTCCCAATAGAATCAATAAGATAATTCAGCAAGCAAGCAATAAGTACTTAAAACAGGATTTTCAAGGAAACCCTTTCAACTAGGGAAAACCTTGGTTTTTGGCCATGGCCAATGAAGATCACTACTAGCTGTATGTACCTTCTTACACACTCAGCTGTCTCACCCTCTGCACACACCCAAGCACAAGAATGGACACTAGCTTTCACAACCAATACACGCACTAGCTGATTTCAGTGCACATACACACTCCCCTTATCCTAAGCACCCTTGCTTGGACCAACAAAGCTCATATAGCTCACCATATACATCATTACAAATGATAAATAAGATAATCAAATTCCTTCTACAATTGAAACAACTTGAACAACACAAAATACCAAGTTACTGCCTCAAAATCATTAAACTGCTGCAGCTAGAGTATGAGGGGTAAAATTGGAATTTTCCATCGAAAATAGTTTATCAATAGCTTCCACAGTCTTAATTCACTACAGTACTCATGTTAACATCCTTAAACAATACAGTATAGCATGAGTATATATCAATGTACTACCACAGTTCTTGAATAAGCTCAGCTCAACACAGTTTGAAAGGTTTTGCAAGGTAACAATCACAATCAGTCAATATTTTGCACCACAGCCAATTTCAACAACTTTGATTCATCAAAATAGACTTGCTAGCACATAGATAATCCATAGAATAGCTAGACTTAATCATTTTGTGCTTGAATCACAATATATGCAGAAAAACAGGCTTATATACTGGTCTAAGAGCTCAAAATCCATTTCAGCATGTTTCAGTTCAAAACAAACTACTGAGCAAGTGTAAATAGCATAGTTATACCTGTGACAACCCTCAGAAATGACCACAGCAGCTTGGAACTTAGATTCACTACTCAATCCAACCCTTTCTTCAGCAATTTGGACAACAGTAGCATCTCAGCACATTGATCACACACAAGGCTTGAGTCAGTGGGTTTTTCTAGCATAAATCATCATTACAAATCACAGAAAAACTTTGTTCAATGAAAATGAGCTCGAGAGTTCTCTTCTGCAGCTTGCTTTTAGTCTCTATGAAAGGCCATTAACCCTAAAAGACACCTATAGCAGCATATATATATTTCAGTGAAAATGTTTAACTGCACCTCTCTTAATTCAATGCTGTCACCTTTCAACCAATGATTGCATAAGAACAATTCTGACATTCCCTTAATGAAAAGACAATGTTGCCCTTGATATCTCACCGAATAGTGACACCTCATGCATCAGTAAGAACAGTTCATACAAGTGAGGACACATTGATATTTGTCTTTGCTTAGCCACTAAGATCTGCAACACCATTGGAGGACAATATATATACCTGGACCACAGCCACGTGTCACACTCCTGAAAATACTTGAAAAGTTGTACAAACAAGCCTTATACCAGCTGTAAATTACATTCAGCAAAATCCTGTTGCTGAGGCTGTATTAGACATAATGTAGGCTCACCATAGCAGTTTAGTGTAATGCAGCTATCCAGCCATACGAGTATCCATAGAATACATCAGGGAAAATACAAAAGTACCCCTGAAAGCACTTGTGACAAGTTCCTTATATACTGATCCTGACTGAAACCATTCAATTTAGCTGAATCAAGTGTACTAGCTGTGATGAATTAAATCATGCCAATGTAAAAAGACTGTCACTGCAATATAAATGTCAATGTTGCCCAAGTGATATGTGTAAAACCACAATACAGATAGGATATGCACTAAAGCACACAAAACCAAAGCTTTGACATTAAACAGGCAAATAGGACTTAGAGAATCTTAGGACCAACAAAATTAAAATCATGAATTTATTAAGTCATAACAAAAGAACATATATGAACCAGTTTCATAAAACCTAGGTTTTACTCCAATTAAACATGCATAATTATTAAATTTTATGTGTTTAATAAATCCTGGAATTTTCTAAGCATGTACAGAAACACAAATCTAAGGGAGAGAGATAGAAGAAGAACTTGCCTTAAACTTTCGGATCGAAAGTTAATCTTCTTCTTCCTTCATCTTCTTCTCTAAAGGGTTTTTCTCCTCCTTCCTTCCTCTTCCTCCTCCTCTCTCTAACTCTCTCTCTAGAATAATTTACGTGATATTTCTAGCCCTCTTTTACAACCTATAGCTATATATTTATAGGTTAAAATAAAACTAACCCTAATCCTAATTCCATCCCAAGTCAATGTAATAAAGAAAATAAAATAAAAATAAAATATTAAAAAGGTAACGTACAATATGTTATGTGTATAATTTATATATATATCCTTATTAAATAAATAAATTATATACATCTCATTATTTATTCCCATTATTTATTAATCGATATCCAATAATACTCAAGTTACCATAATATTATAAAGTAACTTAAAACACGATACGTAAAAATCTATGTATATCCTTATTATATAAATATATACAATATATACATCAGATTAAATACTACTACCCAAGTTACCATAAAAGTAATTAATAAATTACTTTCCCCTTTATATGTATATATATATATATCTCTATCTATATATAACTATTCATGGGTAATTATCAATACCCATTAAGCATCTTATCCAAGTAGTCCATGGGACCCAATTGGTTGGCCCATTACTACTAACCATATCCATCATTTTTAAACAATAAAAATAAAATATAAACAACAAATTCTTTTAATCTAATAATTAAAATATAAACAAATACAAATCATCACATACAAATTAATCTACACAAATAATTTAATTAACACAGAAAAAAATAATGCAAATAGCACATAAACAAATAATGTAACTAACACATAAACAAATAGCCAAATAATCAATTAAACAATTAAAAAATCAATTAAAACAAATAAATAAATACCGAGACTATCCTTTTAAAATTAGGAGTATTACAGTAGTTTCTTAAAGAGAGTTAGGATGTGGTGCGCAATGAGGTGATGGGCACTTTTCAGGATTTTCATTCTCATGGCACATTTGAGAATTCCTTGAATGCATTTTTCATCGCTCTTATTCCTAAGAAAGGCAACGCCTCTAACATTAAGGACTTTCGGCCAATCAGCTTAGTGGGATGTATGTATAAGCTCATTGCCAAGGTCCTTATTCTTAGAATGCTTTTGTTGGTGGAAGGCAGATCTTGGATTTCGTTCTCATAGTAGGGGAATGCGTTGATTCTAGATTGAAAAATGGAGTTTCTGGTGTCTTATGCAAACTTGACATTGAGAAAGCTTATCATCACATTAATTAGAAATTTCTTCTTTACTTTCTTCGGAGGATGGGGTTCGGGGAAAGATGAATAAAATAGATTGAATCTTGCATTTCGTCCGTCATGTTCTCTGTGCTTGTGAACGGATCTCCTGCTAATTTTTTTTCGAGTTCGCGTGGTTTGAGACAAGGAGATCCCTTATCGTCTTTTTTATTCCTTATTGTTATGAAAGGTTTGAGCAGATTAATGAAAAGAGCGCAGGATCTGGGTTTCATAAGGGGGTTCACAGTCGGTAGAGATATTGCTCATCAGATTGAGATATCCCATTTGTTGTTTGCGGATGATACCTTGGTTTTTTGTGATGCTGATGTTTCCCAACTCAGATATTTGAGGTGTATTCTTGCTTGCTTCCAAGCGGTATCCAGACTTAAAATCAATGTTGGAAAGAGTGTGCTTATCCCAATGGGGGATGTTCCTGATATTTCCTCCTTGGCTGCAGTTCTTGGGTGTGGAGTGAGTGATTTTCCACTTCATTATCTGGGATTACCTTTGGGAGTTTCCTCCAAGAAAGTGGGGAGTTGGGATCCGGTGATTAATAGGTATGAAAAAAAATTGGTAGGATGGAAAAAATAGTATCTTTTGAGGGGGGGAAAGGTCACTCTTATTAAGAGTACCCTTTCGTCTCTTCCCACCTATTTCAGTATTTCTTATCTCTGTTTTAAATCCCGTGCTCTATTGCTGAGCAAATTGAAAAAATTCAGAGAGACTTTCTTTGGGGTGGAAGAGGAGAACAGTTCAAGTATCATCTTGTCAATTGGGAGCAAGTCTGCAAACCTTTAAAATTTGGCGGCTTAGGCATTCAAAAGCTGGTCCCATTAAATAGGGCCTTATTGGGGAAGTGGTTATGGAGGTTCGGGAAAGAGCGTTATAGACAGTAGAGAAAAGTTATCTCGTGTCGCTTTGGGGAGGAGAGTGGGGGTTGATCTTCTCGTCCTATTTTTGTTACCGGAGGTGTTGGCGTTTAGAAGTTCAATCAGAAGGGATGGGATGTGTTTTCCACCCATATTAGATTCAAGGTTCGTGATGGAACGTATGTTCGTTTTTGAGAAGACTTATGGTGTGGTGATCAGTTGTTGTCCCTTTCCTTTCCTCATCTTTTCAATAAAGCCGAGAATAAGCATGCTTACGTGGGATGTGCATTTTAGGCATTCTTCTCAGGATTGGGAGATGGTAGAAGCATACGTTTTTTTTGAATTGTTGTATAAACAGAAGGATATTGGCAGAGGTTATGATGACATCTTGTGGATCCCCTCCACCCATGGAATATATGGAGTACGATCCATGTTCCTGTGTTTATTTAATTTTAATGGTCAAGATTTCCCATGGAAGTCTATTTGGCGCTTTAAAG